CAGGATTGGGAGGAATATAACCCGTATGGATTAAGAACTCTTTAATAGATAGAAGGCAAAGAGTGGGAACAAATGGATTATTCTAAGGATAGCAATTTATTAGTAATGGTGTACCACAAGGGTTAGTGTTAGGTTCACATCTGTTTACAATTTTTATAAATGATTTGGATGTGGGAACCAATTGGAACATGGCAAAAGTTGTTGATGACACCAAGCTGAGTGGGAACATAAATTATGAGGAGGATGCATGAGGCTTCAAGAGGATTTGGACAGTTTAAGTCAATGGGCTAGAAAATGCAAATGTTATATAACATATATAAATGTGAAGTTTTTTGCTTTGGTTGAAAAATAGGCAGAATATTCCAGAAATGGTAAGAGGTTGGGAAGTGCTGGTGTCCATATGGGTTTGGATATCCTTGTTCATGAGGAGCTAAAATCCAATATGTAGGTGCAGTAAGGAATTAGAAAGACAATAATATGTTGGGGTTTGAGTACAGAATTAAATATGCCTTGCTGCAGTTGTATGTAGCCATGGTGAGCTCTCACCTGGACTAATGTGTATTAATTTAGTCTCCTTATCTAAGAAAGAATATACTAGTCAGTCAGCAAATACAATGGAGGTTCACCAGATTAATTTGTGGGATGTCTTGTGCTGAGTGAGGAAACTGGGTCTGTATTCTCCAGACTTTTGAAGAATGAGGAGTGGTTTAATTGAAACTTACAAAAATCTTACAGGCATGACAGGATAGCATATTTCCCTGCATGGTGATTCTAAAACCAGAAGACATAATCTTAGGACATTTAAGATTGAGGTAAGAATTTCTTTGCTCAGAGGATGATAAATCTTTACAATGAAGTGGAAATTCAATTATTGAGCAGATTTGAGACCAAAAACAATAAGTTTCTGGTGATGAATGATATTAAGGAGTGTGGAAAAGTGGCCTTGAGGTGATGATCAGCTTTGGTATATCATGGTGGGTCAGGCTCCATTATGGGAGTGGCCAACTCCTGTTGCTATGCTCCCACATTTCTATCTGTGCAGCTGCTAAGTTCCACCCTGTCTATTCCTTAAAACCTCTTGTTGGGTAATCAAAATACCCAAATCCTGCAATGAGTACACAACTTAAACCACTGTTTTACTCAAGAAACTTAAAAAGAACCTTCTTTAAGAATCTGGTGATTTTAATAAAGTACTGAGCAATGTAAATTGATTCAAATCAGAAGGGTTTCATCTCTCTCAGGACTGACTTGCATCTTGAGTTGTCATCTGTGGGGAGAAACAGCGTTGACGTGTTGTTAGATTATGCTGATAGCCATTCTGTGGTTAGTTTAAGAGCATTTTAATGTTCTCTGGTATTCTCTGTGAACATCCTAGGAACCTCCAATTGCATTGCTCTTTGGCTTTGTTTAAACACCAGGCAGGGATCTAATAGTATCAATGAATAGAAAGCATGGAAACTCCTCTTGGCTTCTCCTCATGCTTAAAATACTTCAGTCTTAATGAAGCCCAGATATGCACAAACCATTTTGTTCATGGATAAGTGTTTGTTATAATACAGTGAGCATTGCAACAGATTTTCATCTGAATCCGAAGCTGAAACCCAGCTCTGCTGGAAAGGATAACATTTTATTTCTCTGCTTGCTGTCAGGGTCCTCGGTAAAAAGACAGCTCAGTAGTCTCAACCAATTTTCCTCCAGGCTTGAGTCAACAGCACAAAACTATCCCTAATTTTCTGGCAAAACAGCACAGTGAGGCCCAAGGAATGTTTGCAACATATTACATAGGTGCTATTGAATGTTCAACTGGACTGAAGTCTCCAGAGGAGAGGCAGTGGTAATACCATTGGACTCAGAATCCAGGGCTCCAGACTAATGCTGTTGGGGAAAGGGGTTGATTCCCACCAGGGGGAGGTTCAACAGGGATTCAGGAGGGGTAGGCAATGGCCAAGTGGTATTTTCACTACATTATTAACCAAGAACTCAGATAATGTTCTGGGGATCCAGGTTTGAATCCCACTACAGCAGAATTTGAATTCAATAAAAAAAATCTAGAATTCAGAATCTACTGATGACCATGAAATATTGTCAATGGTCAGGAAAAGTTCATCTGGCTCACTGATTTCCTTCAGGGAAGGACATCTGCCATCCTTTCCTGGTCAGGCCTACATGTGACTTCAAATCCTGCACGTGACTCCAAATCCATGTTGTTGAATCTCTGAACCTCTGAAACGGCCAAGCAAGCCACTCAGTTCAAAGGCAGCTTGGGACAGGCAATAAATGTTATGTCCCACAAGTGAATAAAAGAAAACGGCAAATTGTGAAATTCACATACAATAAACAAATTCTGAAACCAAAAACAGCTAGTCTAATCACAACCATTATTGATTATTTATAGATACCCATTCAGCTCAAGATTGCCCTTTAGCAAAAGAATCTGTCACCCTTACTTGGTCTGTATTACATGTGACTTCAGACCTCAAGCAATATAGTCAATTTTGAATTACCCTCTGATCCCATAAAATAAAGTCCTCAAGTCAGAACTCTAGGAGGTTTATTCTGCATCAATTATAATTCCATTGTATCATGATGCTGACATGAATTTGCTGAGACTATAGACCTTGGTCTTTTTACATATTCTTTTAGTTTAGTTTTAGTTTATAGACCATAATCTAGCAATTTCAATGGTTCACATCTGTTTTGCAATTGTGTTTCAATAAACTTCTTCAAATCTTCTAGTGGCATTGCATTATCAGTGTTCTGTTCACTTCCAAATTATACTTCTACTGGTGAATTTTCTGTAAACATTGAGGGGACCCACTGCAAAGGCTGAAAGTTGGAGTGGGTGGATAGCAGTGTGGTCCTGCTCCTGGGATCAGCAAGTCCTGGTGCCGCATTTTATCACTAATATCCTGAGGAGATGATGGAATGAAAGTGTCACTGGACCAGGTTATCCAGAAGACCGAACTAATGCTCCAGGGAAATGGGTTCAGTTCCCACCATGGTCGTTGAACTTAATCAATAAATCTGGAATTTAAAGCTATTCTGGCTATTGGTGACTGTGATTTTATCATTAATCATGTTGTTAAAACCCATCTGGTTCACCAACCTCCTTTAGGGAAGGAAATCTGCTATTTTTACCTGCCCTAAGTGGGACTTCAATATGGTTGACTTTCAACTGTCCTCTCAAATGGCCTAGCAAGCCATTCCATTCAGGAGAATTTAGGGTTGGGCAATGGACCGGAAGTTGAGAAGGTTGAGAGTGTCAAGTTCGTAGGAGTGACAATAACTGACAACCTGTCCTAGACTTCCCACGTTGTGCCTTCTTGACTATCCCATCTACAACACCTCTTCCTCAGATGGCTCAGGAAATTTGGCATCTCCATAAGGACCCTCACCAACTTTACAGATGCACCATTGAAAGCAAACTGTCGGGTGCCAATTGGCCTGGAATGGACCATAAGAAACTACAGAAGGTGGTGTGCAAGCTCAGACCATCATGGAAGCCAACCTCCCATCCATGGACTCCATTTACATGGCTTGTTGCCGGAGAAAGACCCTTCCCACCCTAGTACTATTCTCCTACAACTTGTTCCGTCAGACAGAAGATACAGAAGCTTAAACACTTGCGCCAGCAGGTTCAAGACCAGTTTTTTTCCCTTCTGTTATTAGACTGATGAATGCATTCTCTAACTTTAAATAATGCTGATCTTGTTAATGTTGATCTTGCCTAGCGCACATCCTGTGTGGTGTAACTTGTATGCCTTGCATTGTCCAAGTTCTTTTTCACCCTATGATGTGCCTGTACTACACGTAAACAAAGCTTTTCACTGTACTTAGGTACACATGACACAAAATCAGATCGAATCAAACAAATGCTGGCTTTTGTCAGTGATGACCACTTCACATAAAAGAAGAAAAAAGTAACTGCCACTGTCTTCCATCTCTATTAATGGCAGCGGCCTATTCCTGACAATGACAGAGGTGGGCACAGCTAGCGGCAGCCACGATTAGAACTGTACCTATGGGGTTGGGATGCATCAATTTTCAATACATGGTCAGCTAAGTGGGCTCTGGGATGTCAATACCAGTCATCTGGGCCCCAGTGAAGAGGGGAGGGTGTCTCACGTATGACAGGGAGCACAATAGCTTGGCATGGGGTGGCTGGGTATAAATTGCCATTCACAGATCCTCATCTCCATGGGCCAAAGAGTTCCTAAACTTGAAGTTATCCCATCTGCCCAAATAAGTCCTGTGAGAGGGCACCAGGGTTTACCAGGCAATCACTCCATACCACAGAGGGGGCTACCCCATCCCAAATGATTAGTCAAATGCCAACACCATCAAGAAGAGGGGAGGCAATGGCCTAGTGGTATTATTGCTAGAGTGTTAATCCAGAGCATCAGGTAATGCCCTGGGGACCTGGGTTTGAATCCCATCATGGCAGAAGATGGAATTTGAATTCAATAAATATCTGGAATTAAGAGTCTAATGATGACCATGGATCGATTGCTGATTGTTGTAAAAACCTATCTGGTTCACTACTGTCCTTCAGGGAAGGAAACTGCCATCATTACCTGGTCAGGCCTACATGTGACTCCAGACACACAGTAATGTGGTTGACTCTCAACTGCCCTCTGGGCAATTAGGGATGGGTAATAAATGCTGACCTGGCCAGCGATGTCCTCATCTTGTAAATGAATTAAAGAGGAAAAAAGAAGAAGCTTCTAATTGTCCAGTGGAGTGGCTCAATCAAGATCCAACAGGGTGACGCACCAACCACTTTCCATGTTGCTGGCAAAATGGCTTGGTGGCATGACTGTCTGGCACCTTCCAGGCTCCCAGCCTACCCTCAAAAGTTGGGAACAATTGATACCCCCACTACTTCACAGATCTTAATTGGCAGCATAAGACAATGAGGTGAAGAGTATCCACAGGCAGAATGCATGAAATGAAATCAGATAAAGGGTCTGAAAAGATGATCGCATTTACAAAAACTGTAATTACATTGTACATTATAATACATTTATTGCTTAGAAGGTGTGTGTCTGTAAATAGGCCTGACATGCTTCATCCATCAGTATTTGAAATTCTTACTCAGTATGGTGTCATTGGAAGTTTACAGTCTGGCAGTTAGATCAGAGGAAAACTTTACGCTCTATACCACATTGTCCCCGTTCGCCTCCAACCCCAGTGGGATCAAATAAATGGATATTGGCAAGTAAAAGTGCCAGGGCATCAAAAACAGCAACTCAGAAATTGGCAGCAAACCAAATCACAAACTACAAAACATCAGTGCCAATTGTTTCACTATTAATCATGACTGCATTTTTTGTGAAAACAAGTTCCCCATTTTAAACTTGCAATGGTTAGCTGTGGGTCTTGGGGGTTTACCAGGCAAGTTAATGGTTCGGCAGAAACACCCATAGTCACACCACGGTTGGCTTCTTATGGACATTGTGCACATCCCATGGAAAAAATGAGCTCTGATTTTCACTGTATGGGTCCAAGTGCTGTTGCTTGTTATGCACCATGCAGTAGTTTTCGTGGTCTCTGGCAGACATGGCTGTCGCTTCATGGTCCAAGTTCCCGACCAGGAATTTTTCAGCAGGAGGCTTCTGAAAGCTGTAGTGCAGCCGTGAGATCATTTGCTCATGCTGCCGTTGCAGACGCCTGTTTTCACTTCGCAGCATTCGCAGGGCTAGCATGACCAGCAGCACCAGGATGAAAGCGCCCGCTATGCACACAGCTATCACAGCTGCCCTGAACCAAATCTCCTTGGCATTCACCTCTTGCCGGTAGGCCAGGTTCCTGTTCCCAGAGGTCCGCTTATTGGCTCGTCGATCTGAAATAGGATCAAGAGATCAGGTTAGCAACTTATTGCAGCTGAATGACTATTTCTAATCGGTGTGACTGTTTGATGTTTCAAATGAGGAAATCACAAACCAATTTGCAACTTGTGCCTTTTACTTTGCAACATTAAAGTAGCATCACTGCTGTTAAATGCAAACTTTCTCAATCATAGAACCCAAGAGGATAATTCAACCCAAATCATTCATAGAGAGACGGTGGTGGAGTGATCATATCTCTAGATGACTAACCAAGAGGCTGAATCTTTGGTGACATGGGTTCAAATCCCACCATGGCAACTGGGGAATTTAAATTCACTTAATAAATATGGAACTAAAATTTCTGTCACTGATGGTTATCATAGAAGAATTGTCATAAAATCCCATCTGGTTCACAAACGCCCTCTAGGGAGAGAAATCTGCCATCTTTACCTGACCTGGCCTATGTGTGACAGCAATGCAGTTAACTTTTAACCATCTGAAGCAATTCACTCAGTTCAAGGGTATTAAGAGATGGGCAGCAAATGTTAGACTTGCCAGTGGTGCCACATCCCATGAAAGAATAAACGATTCTGTATCAGCTTTCAATTCAAGAGAAAGATTGCGCAGTACAGGAATAGCAAAAAAATCTGCACCCACAGCAGTTTGAACATTATGTTTGTGATTTTGGATTCTGCATATTGACTCCAGAGTTTTGCGAGGTGATTGTTTTTGAAGGTATGTGTGGATGAGTGAAAGATTGACCCCCATGGTTGAGATGCCATCACTTATCAGAGAGTCAGCTCACTGTGGCTCAATAGGTGCATAGGAACATAACAGCAGGAAACTATTCAGTCTATCTGCCTAATCTGTCATCCAGTTAGATCATGGCTATCTCATTGCTGCTTTCCTGTGTTATCTCCAACTATCTTGATGTCATTAGTCTCCAGAAATCTATAAATTTCTGTCTGAAACTTTTAAGTGATTGAGCTTCCACAGTCTTCTGTAGTAGAGAATTCCAAAGGTTCACCCTCTGAGTGAAGAAATTCATCCTCATCTCAGTCTCAAATAGTCTTCCCTTTATCCTGAGATCATGTCCTATGGTTTTAGACTCATCAGCCAGGGAAACATCCCTCCTCAAACACCGTGTAAGAATTTTGTAAATGTCAATGAGATCACCTCTCACTCTTCAAAACTCAAGAGAACTAAGCCCATTTTCCTCAATCTCTCCTCATAAAATAATCTTGTCATCCCAGGGATTATTCTGGTGAACCTCTGTTGCAGTCCCACTATGGCAAGTGAATTTCTCCTTAGACAAGTAGCACCATGTACTTCTGAATCAGAAGGTTCTGGGTTTAGGTTGTATCCGTGACTTTTAAATACAAAAGTCAAGTGCTGTAGTCAATAAGTACGGCATTCTTACAAGTGCTGCCACTAACTCGAGGCATATTCTGCCTTCTCAGTTAGAGTTAAAAGATTGCATGCTGAAAGGTCAAGGAAGAGCAAAGGAGATAGTCCTTGTGTCCTGACCGATATTTATCCCTCCATCAACATCGTAGAAACAGATTACACGGTGATTATTACGTTGCTGTTTGTGGGAACTTTATGCACAAATGGGAGTCAAAAAGGATAACCTGGAAAGTATATGTCATAATCAGATCAGCTATGATCTCCTAAAATGGACTACACGGCCTCCTACAAGGACTAAATGAATTACCCGTTCTCCTAATTCATCTGCTTGAACATACAAATTGATGATTGCATTTTCCACACTTGTGACAACACATCAAAAGAGTCTTTAATTAGTTGTCAAGATCTTCAGGACATCTGTGGTCATAGTTTGAGTCCTTTTTGCCCTTGCATGTTTTCATATGAATAATGACCACTTTTAGTCAGTAATTGATAGGCCAACAGAATTGTATCTCAGCAAGGAGTCAACTTCTTAGGATCAAGTGTTAAAAGGAACAGTTCAGCAGACAACGCCAGAATTGATCTATTATTATCAAAACAGCCCTTTCATGCAAATGTTATGGTTTCTGCAACATTAGAAACATGGGCAAGCTCCATTTAAAAGGGGTTTTCCAATAAAATTGGGTCCCTAGACTAGTGAGTTGCAGGGGCATCCTGCTCTCCCATCTTTGCAGAGTCTCCAATGCAGTATCATTTTGAAGGATATTTGAGAAGATTCAATTGGAAACATTCAAGGATTAATGTTAACATTACTTGCAACGTCCCTCACTGATATCAGTTTGCAATGAACAACATAGACACAAGCTTGCATTTGGTTAGGCACGAGTGGATGGTGTTTCATTATTATGAATTGTGATTATAGAGGATCATTTTTTGAAAGGAACTATTCTTTCTCTTATGCATGGCACAGATTAGAGGGGTGGTCTACAAAGTAAGCGACTGCATACACATGGATACTTTCACTAAATCTGTTATGTTCCACAAACCAGCAGCATAGTATTTTCAACGTTCCCCATTTAGTAAGATTAAACCTTGAAGATGTATAAGAAAATCACTTGAAAATTCCCTGAACTCTAACTATAAATGATTAAAAAGAGTCAACATGGGTTTATGGAAAGGAAATTATGTTAGACTGGAGTTCTTTGAGGATGATTTGTGGATAAAACGGAGCCTTTGGCTGTGTTGTACTTAGATTTCCAGAAGACATTTGACAAGCTATCACATTAAAGGTCACAATGCAAAGTAAGACCTCATAGTGAAGAGGGTATTAGTATTGATACAGAATTGGTTAGCTAACACGACACAGTAAATTGATCTTTTTGGGGTAGCGGGCTGTACTAAGTGGTGTGCATAATGAGTGGTGTGTCAGTAATAAATGCAAGGGTCTCAACTCTTGTACAATTCAGTTCAATAGCTTGGATGAAGGGACCAAATATATGGCAGTTGAATTTACAAGATGACACCAAGACAGGAAAGGAAGATAAGTAGGAAGGTGGTAAGAAACGAAGTTGAGAAAAGGATATAAGGTGTCCGTCTGAGGACACAGATAGGTTAAATGAGTGGATAAGAATTTGGCAGATGGTGTATATTGAACTTCTGCACTTTGACAGGAAGAACAGAAAAGCAGCATATTATTTAAATGTAGACAGATTACAGAATTCTGCAGAAGAGTAAGGGATCTGTGCGTCCTCATGTGTGAATCATAAAAGTTTAGCACACGTGTACAGCAAAGAAGACAACTGGAACATTGTATATAACATGGAAATGAGAAAAATTTAAGAAGGAAATGAGAAGAACTGTTCTCTTTCTCTCAGTTTTGTGGGTCTAAGTATATCTTTTCTCCAGAGAGTGATGGAGATGGGGTCATTGAATACTTTTAGGCAGAGGTAAATGGATTCTTGACTAACAAGAGAGTCCATGTTTATTGGTTAGGCAGGGGATGTGGAGCTGAGCAATAATCAGATCAGTCATGATTTAACTGAATGACAGAGCAAGCTTGAGGGGCCAAATGGTCTCCTTCAGCTCCTTATTCAGATGGTCATGTTTATGTTCATAAAATATTAGCAGAACACTCACACTCACTGGTGTAAGAAGTTGTCTTAGAATACTTAATCAAGGTGATCCAATATCTGAAGCCAAAATTAGATCTCACTCTGATCTTGTTGGTTATCTTACATAGTTTTGCATTAATGTGAGATCAAAACCATTTCACAGTCTGTAAAAAAATGTTGTATAACAGCTCTATAAATTCAGAATTTACAATGATTAGCTGGATCCTTCTGAAGAATTAAATACATCAACTATTGGAGCATTTATACTTTATGTATATGAGAAGTCAAACAAAGATGTGAGTTCTTCATTCAGTTGCATCCCATAAAAACACTTAAACAAAACATGAAACTGTTCACTTATGTTAAATTTGGATCTTCACAGTCAGATCTCCAATTTGGAGCTGTACATAGACCTTCTTTTAAACAGACAGCCCAATTTTCATGCCATTAGCTTTTGCAGTAATCAGTTCTGTGTGTTTATTACTCTGTATTAAGAAATGTTTGCTATCAGTCCTAAGTTGCTCTTTCACGTGTTTGAGCATGTGCTTCCCAAGTCTTATCTGTGGCAATAACTGGGAACTAAGCTGTTGGTTGCAGTGAGAACCCCATGACAGCTCTCTATGGGAAGGCTCACCACATCTTGTTCCATTCAGGCACTTTACAGGTAAGTGGGGGGCCTTTTCCTGTGATCTGGGATGCCATCCACCAAGAACTGCTAGCCAATCCGAAGTGACACCTGCCTGAGGCCTAGAATTGTAACAGGATCCCAAGCTGCATGGGAATCACGTCAGGAAGAGCTTTGAGGGGTGAGGTTTGGGTGGATAGGCAGCAAGTACAGGTTACAGGGGGGTGTGGCTTTCAGTAAGTCCCTCTCTCTATTTCAGGGAGACTTGATCAGCTGTTGATAGCCGTTGAAGGTATTTTCTAATCAACCTGTTACTGCACATCTCTGGAGCAGGTATGACTTGATACCAGGCCTCCTGGTTCAGAGCTAGGGATGCTACCACCACACCATAAGAGTCACTAAGAGCGTCTTTGGATGAAGGACCCCTTTGCGAGCTTGCAAGAGTCCCCGCAAGGATTTGCTTGCCATAGACCTTAATTTACAGGCAACCCCAGTTTCCACCAGGAGTGACTGAAAGGGACACTTAAATGGGCATTCACCTAATGATGGGACCTTACTGTAACTAAAAGTCTGATGTTAGTTACTCCATTTGCTGACTCTTGAGTTACAGGAGTTCTCTTGATCCAGTGGGTATAGTCCCTGCCCCGAATTCAGAAGTTCAAATCCCACTCAGGAGTTGATGGTCAAGGTAGGGGAGTTTATGCGGCGTATTAAAAAATTCTGTCCAGTTACAGTGGACTTCTCTAAATCAAGTAATGTCCCTGAGGGTGATTTGCTCTAAACAGTTTCCACTAAGAATTTAATATTGTGGAACTTCTGACCTGAATCCTTGTTTAATGAATTCTGTAAAACTATAGTAAAATGATACATA